CCCCAAAACCCCAAAACCCCAAAACCCCAAAACCCCTAGGGCCAGATTTATAAGATAGATTGAACATTAAAGATTAAGGATAATTAGTTATGTGATTCGATAATCATTTAAAAGTTGGATATTAGAATCTTGTATTTCATGAATCAGGCTGTGGTGTCCTTGAGATGTGAATACTTATTTTTCTCTCTTGAGTAGAGTTCTGCAACTTCTGCCTCTGTTAAGCCCTTAGTTTCCTTGAGCAAAAACATACTAAAGAATGCAGTCTAAATCATAAAGTAAATATTTGAGAATTCTTACGACGCCACAGAGTCCACCGAATACGATAAAAAGTTCTCCAGAGATAACGAATGGTGTAACAATAGCCATTAAGATTGTCATGAGCCAGTTGAGCAAGATAGCAATACTGAGACCTTTCTCTGTCATAATTTCTGCCATATATAACCAAGGGATAGGACCGAGTGAGAATTCGAATAGAACAACAAATAACATAATGAAGATTGTGCAGAATACTTGAGCAGTGGAGTTATTTTCAAGATAGAAGAAGGCAATACCAAGTCCAACTAAATCAGCAGCCATAAGGAATGACATAGACCAGAGTAGTTGTTTTCTTCCGAATTCTATAATTCAAGGGTTAGAGAATTGAAAACTAATACTTACTTCCTAACAGGAATAGAGCACCGAAGGTTGAAGCCATATTGATGAAACCTACTAAGCCAGATCCAAGATTTGTGTCAATACCCATTTTGTCAAAGATTTTGCTTGAGTAAAACATGACAGCATTGATACCTGATAATTATTAGAGAACACTCAAAGCGCATCCAAGGATTGTAGCATATTGGTATTTAGGGTGGCAGAGAGTCTGACCATAGCTTGGGGTTGTAGCCTTACCAGATTCGATGACGATAGCATTGATTCTCTCGACAATTCTATCAGGTTCATAAATTTTGCCCATTAATTTGCTAAGTTAGCCATGCTGATTGTTTTGCTTCAAAAACTTTGGGGTCTCATAATTGAAAACTGTGAGCAATAGGATAATTTAGATTATACTAAATGCAATTGGAAGAGCAAACATCACTCTCCAGTAGTTGTCTGAGACAAATGAAGCTTTAGCACCACCAGCAATAACATATTTACTAACATCACCAATTGTCACATAGTCAAATTTAGGGATAGGAATACCAAGGAAGAAAGCTATCATAATTCCGACTGTAATTAATATCTAGGTGACAGCTCCAAGTGGTCCTTTTAGCTCAGTTGGGGCAGCTTCATTAACTATGAGAATATTATATGGCAGGATATATTACTATAACTTGGAACTAAGACAGAGAAAGACCCTGTTGCTAAGCCATATATAAATCTACCAGCAACAATCGCATACACGTTCTTATAAGTAGTTATTCCTGCTCCAATAATCACAAGGATATTTGCAAAAAGAATGCAATTTTTCTTTCCATATTTAACCTAATAGAGTTATTAGACAATTAGTAGAGCTTACGAAGACTCCAACGCCGATTGATCCCACAGCAGATCCTACTGAGCAAATTGAGGTTATCACAGAAGACCATAAATCTAAACTAGTTAAAAAGTAAAATAACTTTACTTTGCTTGTCCTTGTCCCATTCAAACAAGTATGCAAAGTCATTTTAGAGTGTATTGAATACTCCAATTGAGTAACCTAATAAAAATGGCGATAAATATGGATGGATAAGAAAGAAAATACATATGAGGCAATTTATTTGTTAATAAGCTTACCAAATTAGAATGAACCTATTCCGATAGTAAGAATGAATGCATATAAAAAGCCAGTTCTAACACCCCCTGGTTAGACTATAGAAGGGGATGAAGTGGGGTATTTGTCTATTGATGGATTCAGCTTTGTGTCGAGCTCTTAACTCATAATTATAGATCTGTGTGAAACTTTTTGTAATTAATTAATATGCTTATTGATAATGAGAGTATATGATCTATCTGATCTGATTGAAATTAATATGCAATTATTTAGAGTTAAATTCGTCATCCTTTGAGGATCTATGGGGTTTTGGGGTTTTGGGGGTTTTGGGGTTTCTTTGAATATTA